CGATCCCCGAAGAGAGATTGCGCAAGGCGTCGCCGATGCAGCTGCTCTTTGGGAGTCCGACGAAGCCACTGACGCGCGATGACGACGACGACACGTGCGACGAGGGTGGTGACCTAGTCCCTACGACGACCAAGGACGCGAGTGATCGATTGCCCACCGAGCTGTCTCGGAAGGCAACCCACCCGGAGGCGAGCGCGTCGGAGTAACTTTTTTAAATGAAATCAAGTCGGTTGTCTTCAAGTTGGCGCGACATACCGGTGCGGTACAATTGGTGCTACATGGATCGATGTCGCTACATATTCAAGACAATACTGTGCCGTTAGTAAGACAATATTGTGCCGTTGGTGGGACAATATTGTGCCGTTGGTGGGACAATATTGTGCCGTTGGTGGGACAAGAACGCGACCAGTGCAAACATCTCATCTTGCTGGCATCATCTTGGCGTGTTGTTTGGTTGTTGGCACGACCTGCGAATGATGGTCGATTGCGTAATATACTTGGCTAAGGCAATTGTACACTGTGATGACCAATCACGGTGGGCAATTTCGACGCCGGATACGGCCAGTTTGTTTTTGACACCACCGCCAGAACAATGTGGGCGACGCTCGAGCGAGCACTGACTTCCAACGAGTCGGCGACCGCCAAGGCGCTGCGCCGCGTGTGCGAACAAGGCGACGCCGAAGCAGTTCGCCGCCTTCTCCTGCAGGCAAGCCCTTTGGACATCACGGCGGTGGATCCGAGCGTACGCCGAGCCGCCCAGAATCTCTGCCCTCACCAACACTTCTGCATTAGACGGGGCGTGTGGGCCTGCACCTCGCCAGTATGAACGGATACGGGCGGGTCGTCTCGGCGCTGCTGCCGTTTCTGGACGACGTCAACCAGCGCGATTTTGTACGACCATTGTCCATCGCCTTGGGACGACATTGGCACTCCTTGTGTAGAAAGGGTGCACGGCGCTGCATCTCGCCCTCGAGCATGGCAAAGACGACGTGGCGAGAATGCTCCTGCGCCATGTTGCTACTGATGTCAACGCTGCAGACAGCGTACGTTGTCCTCTTGGAATCCTGACCGATCAAGCACGTAGTTGGGCGAGACGCCGCTCATGCTCGCGTGCGCAAAAGGCAAACCAGACCTCGTGACCGCTCTTCTAGCGTGCCCGTACATAGAGGTGCTCCGCTATAACAAGGTAGTATGTACATTGATGGGAAGCCAAGAAACACCCACATCTCGCATAGGCGGGCGACACGGCGTTGCATGTGGCCGCCCGCGTCGGTCGGGCCAACTGCCTTCGACTCCTCGTACGCGCGCCGGGTCTCACGGACGTCAACTGCCCAAATCTGGTTTGGCCGTCGAGATAGCGTTCCCATTTCCACCATAGGATGGATGTAGATGAATGGCGAGACTGCGCTTATGGCCGCGCACGCCTCGCACTATGCGACGCGCGCGCTCTTCAGCCACCCGTCGATCGACGTCAACCGCACCGACAATGTACATAGGATCTGCCTTGATCTCGTCGCTTACGCTATCTTTGCAGAACGGCAACACAGCGTTTATGGTCGCTTGTGCTAACGACAACATGGAGACCCTTCAAGAGCTCGTCAACGCGCCCGGCCTCGACATGAACCGCGCCAACCACGTACAAACATCACCGATTTTTACCGCGGAATCAACGTCAGTGTAGAGCGGCCTCACGGGGTACGCGCTGGCCTGCCAAGCCGAGAACCCGATGCTGGCGGCCCACCTCTTGACGTTGCCGGGCATCGATGAGTGCCACGTCCCCACGGCCGTGCGTCTTTATTGCGATGTTTCAACAGCAAGAACACGTCGTTGATGGATAGGGCGGACACATTGCACTGGCCGTGGCGAGTGCGCTGCACCGCGTCGAGTCGGTCCGAGCGCTGCTTGCGTCACCCGACATCAACCCCAACTACTGCGACGCCGTACAATGATATCTTGTTGAGGGTAGAGGGGACTCATAGAAAAGGATCTAGAGTGGCATGACGGTTCTGCTGCAGATGTGTTTGAACTCGGGCAGCGAAGAGATTGTCGCCCTCTTCCTAGCGATCCCGACCATCGATACAAGCGTCCTGGACAAGGTAGACACTGCATTGTACCACCACACTGGATGCACACTCCGTGCTACAGCATGGCAACTCGTGTCTGACGCTGGCGGCGCAGCAAGGCCACGCCGGTCTCGTCTCGCTGCTGCTTGGCCACGGGACCTTTGACGTCAATCACAGCAACAAGGTCCACGCCGGCGCTCGGTACATTGATACACTGATATTCTCAATATGCAGGATGGTCTCTCGGCGCTCATGATTGCGTGTGTCGCCAACGACGCTGCGATCGCGTCGCTCTTGTTGCAAGTGCCCACAATTGACCTCGCTCTGCGCGAGAAGCGCGTGCGTGAAGACGCATGATGACGTGTCCACAAACGAACAACATGTCCTTTGTTCGGTAGGCTCAGCGCACGGCACTCATGCTTGCCAGCGTCCACAACGCCGGCGCCATCACAGCCTTGCTGCTTGCGCACCCACACCTCGTTGATCGGAATGCGACGGACCATGTAGGTCAATCTGCGTCAATGGGCAAAGAGACATGCTCTCGTAGACGCAGGCGACAGCACTTGTCTTGGCCGCACAGCACAACGCGCGCGATGTTGTCCAGGCCTTTGCTTTGGCCAGCACCGGCGTCGACTTCGCTGCCGCCAACGCGGTCCGCTTTCGATATGTCTGCACCAAGACGATGTTCATCCTGAGCCTCTCTAGGCCGGCGACTCGGCGTTCCTTCTTGCAGTGGTCCACCGCTACATCGACGTGGCGCGCCACCTCTTGCCCTTCATCGATGTCAACGCGCCGCACCCGACGGTAACTTCATACCACGGAATGAAACAACGGCATGCGGTTGATAGACGGGCCAGACAGCGCTCATGCTCGCGTGTGCGCAGCCCTTCCCGCGCATGATCGAGCTGCTGTTAGCGACGCCCGGAATTGCCATCAATGCCCTCGACACGGTGCGCGATATGGCTGCGATCATTGTGCTAAGCGATGAGGTCCTAGGCGGGCGAGTCGGCGCTGCTTGTGGCCTGTCGTTGGAACAACGTGGCCGCTCTGCAGCTTCTGTGTGCGCTACCGTCGCTGGACCTCTTCGTGTGCAGCAAGGTTGGCGCCTCCGTTCGTGGTACTGGTAGATGAAGTGCTCACGGTGGCCCGTAGACAAACACCCATGCGTTGGAGATTGCGGCGACCGTCGACAACCCGCAAGTCGCTGCGACGCTGTTCCATCGCCTCTTTACGATGCACATGCATCTTGGTCTTCCACGCGAGCTCGCCGAGATGACGGCAATCTTTTATGGCCCTCGATGTTAGTGACACCCGTACATATATTTGAACCTTTTGGGATATTTGAATGTACCGGTAGTACGTAGCCGCCTGGCCTTTTCTACACTTTACGGTACTCGAATTAGGAAAATGCCGGAACGAACCCACTCCCTCTTCCACACTTCGGCACACCTCCTCCACCATGCTACCATCAACCATCTCCAACCAACCCAAAGACCCCGGTGCCCTCAACCTCGGCGCCTGGCAGGAAGGGACGTGAGTGCTACAGCTGTTTCAACCGCAGCATGCGCCATATGATGGACCCAAAAGCGCCTTGTCTCTGGCTGGCTCGTTAGGGTTGATGTTGTTTTTGAATGGGCAAAGTCAGTGGGGCCAAGTTCCCCACCATCGCATTGCACTGCGCTCCATCCGTTGAAGGCATGGAGCACCAGTACATTGACAAGGTCGCGTGCGTCGCCGCTTCAGAGCTTGACACTGCGTAGGTCGGCAAGTCGGACCCCATGAAGGCGTGCGAGAAAGGCGACCTCGCCGAGGTCCAGCGGCTCCTCCCGACAGCCCTCCTCGCAGCAACGATGCGCAGTGTACACACCATTACAGGGCTCTGCCTCTCACGCTGCCATGCTGCACAGACTGGACAAACGGTGCTTCACGTAGGGTGTATTCAAGGCAGCGTCCTTATCCTCCGCGCCTTGCTCGAGGTCGTTCCGGACGGCAACGTCCGCGACAAGGTCCCGCTTAGGAAGCGCGTGGAATACATGGACGCCTAGAACGGGCTTACCGTGCTGCTCCAAGTGTCCTTGAACCCAGCGACGGATCTCGCTATTCTGGAGGCGCTGCTTGCCATGCCTGATGTCGACACGAATGCCGTCGACATGGTTGGTTGCCATAGGTTGACGACGAGCCATTTATCGTGTTGAACTATTAGAGTGGGAACTCGTGCTAGATGGCCGCTGTTCGAAGCTGCCGCATTGATCTTGTCCGCGCGTTGCTTGGGCATACGAAGATAAAAAGACGAACATCAATCACGCCAACAAGGTCCGTCTTCACCCGGATGGTCGACACCAACTTCTGCCTAGGCCCGCGAAACGGCCTTGATCTTAGCGTGCGATGTGCGCAGCTACGCGATCGTGGAGCTCGTCTGCAAGAGCACCTTATTGACGTCAACCACAAGTGCAAGGTAGGCTGCGACGCATTCTCAAACCAGTCAAGCATCGTCTCGAGTAGGACACGGCGTACAAGGTCGCCAGGGCTGATGGAGCCAACGACATTCTGGAGATGCTCCACCCAAGTTTATCCCGCCCGCCGACGACGACAACGAAAAAATGTGCTGCGGCGTGGTGGCGATAGGCAGCCTTGGTTGCGTCGGCGGTGCCCTCGATGTTGTCACGAGGGTCTTCTTCTGGCTCTGGTGCTGCACGTAACTTCATTGTGGTAGCCAATGCGGAAACGTACTAGAACATTTTTGTGCTATCGGTGTGTACAAAGGCGACCCTGAATCGCGCTGTCCTAACATCAACCAGACAATCAAACAAGCCCCACTTGGACGTTTGTTGTTGCATACCAGACAAATCGTAGCCCGCATTTGCGATTCATTGGCTCATCATCCGCGTCGTGGGACAATCATTCCTCTCGACCAAGACAACACCATGTGTTGCTCGGATGTGGGTTGTCAAATTGCACTTGCGTATCATTTTGCATTTTTCTATTCGCGACCACAGAGTATCGATCGACATGGAGCGACACCACAGCGTGGACAAGGTATTCCCTTTTTCTTCGTCAGATCGTTCGCTCATGCCACGCCAATCAGCTTGGCCAATCAAACTTGATGCAGACCATCCAAAACGGCGACCTTGCGCAGGTCCAGCGACTCGTTGGGGTCGACAACCCCGAGGCGGAACACCTCCTCGCGATGACGCAGCTAGCCGCAACGACGCAACAGGTATTCTAGTCGTCTATATGTTGTACTCTCTACCCGCGCGACAATTAGTTGGGCCAAACAGCACTTCACGTTGCTTGCCTCTACGGAAACGCACCGATTCTCAAGGCCTTGCTCGACGTCATGCCGGACATCAACGTCCGCGACAAGGTTCGCTCGCTTGCGCCCTTCAAGCACGCTGCTCATTGCCATGTAGGCGGGTGCGACAGCGCTGCACTATGCGATTGCCAACCGACGGGAGGGCATTATCGCTGCGCTCATGGCCGCACCAGGAGTCGATATCAACGCCGCCGACGAGGTGCGCCTCACAAAAATCATTTCTTATAGTCGTATAGACAGTGTCAAATAGGCTGGCAATACCGTGCTGATGTATGCATGCTACTGCAACAACGTCGCACTCGTCAAGGCGCTGCTCGCGCGACCTGGCCGCTCGAGTTGCAATCAGTACAACCACGTACAACGAGCGTGCCCTTTGCTACGAGGAGTTAAGTGTTGCGCTGTAGGCCGGGCTCTCGGCGCTGCATATTGCCGCGCAGCGAGGCTTCCCCGGCTGCATCCAAGTGTTGCTCGATGCTGGCGTCTTGGGCGTGAACGCCACCACGGTAGGTCACCTCATGTGTTTTTCCCATGTTTGATCCACCGGTAGTTGGACGGCCGCACGTGCCTCATGCTTGTCAAGAATGCCGTCGAGACGGCTCAAATGCTGCTGCGGTACCCAGATGTGGATGCCAACCTCGCCTCCGAGGTAACATTCCATTCTACATGGAGAATGACACGATTCTTGAAGGATGGCAACACTGCCCTTTTGCACGCCTGCCTGGGTAGCCATGACGACATGATTGCGTATCTTTTGAGTCTCCGCTCGGTCAACGTGAATGCGACCAACGCTGTACGAAGTCCTCCATCTGCCAACTGGTCATATTGTCCTCGCGTAGAGTGGCGACTCGGCGTTCCAGTTCGCAGTTCGCTCCGAGAACACATTTCTCGCCGCCCAAATCGTGCAAGCACCCAGCTTTGACGAAGACAACGTCACGCCCGAGGTCCATCCTGCGGATTCAACCACCATGTAGCTCACTTTTGGTGACGGTAGTGCGGTCTCATTGCGCTCTCAGTTGCGTGCGCGCTGCAGCGTGTCGGGCTTGTCCGTCGCCTCCTTGCCTCGCCGCAAACCGACTACAACTACAAGGACGCGGTACGACAAGAATGCGTCTCACGTGTCCAATAACGAAACACGGTTAGAACGGACTCAGCGTGCTGCTCCAAGTGTGTTTGAGCCCATCGACGGACCTGACGATCTTGAACAATCTGCTTGCGCTGCCCAAGATGGACACCAACACGACAGACATGGTACTACCAAAGGTTTCAACGTACGACTTAGACACACCTAGCATGGCAATTCGTGCCTCATGGTCGCCACACGCAACGAGCGCTTGGATCTCGTGTGCGCGCTCCTTGCAGTTGAAGAAACCAACATCAACGTTGCCAACGAGGTACTCTTCTACGCCAACAGATACGACCTCAGGACGCTGTGTCCAGGCCGGCGACACGGCGCTCACGATCGCATGTGAACGAGCCAACTACGCGATCACCGAGCTCCTTGTCGCGCATCCGACGTTGGACGTCAACCACCGGCGCAAGGTATGTACGATGTGTGGAGTTTGTCTCTGGAAATGACGAGATAGGATCATCGACCTGCGTACCGCGTCGCTCGAAAGAAGGGCGCGCGTAGCATTATGCTGCTGCTCACGACTCACCCCGCGTTTAAAATGCCGCTTGACGCCGACGAGGATGAGATCGGCGGCCACAACTGGACGGTCCGAGGCTGCCTTCAAGACATTGGCGCCTGCTTTCTCATCATGGGCGAAATTCTGAACCCCTTTGCCTGGTGCTGCCTCGCGTACGCCCTCTCTGATTAGGGCCAAGAAACACATAGTACTTGAGTCTTGTCTCCTCCAACCATCATACATCGACGGTCAAGCGTCATTACGGTGTGGTTCGCATTAGATGGGTATGTGGCGCCTGCGAGGCGTTGAACCGACGGTTCGAGACGCACCAACTTGAAAGTGCGACTAGTTTTCGATCTCGGAAAGCCCAGGGAGCCCATGGTCCGTCATTGCGCCATGAAATCCCACGCCTCTGTTCTCCCCGAGCAAGTTCCCACTGCGTCAATGACGCAAATACTTGATGGTTCGCTTTGGTGGCTAATGTACCCTACCGCTCTCTGGTTGTGCTCCGATATATAAAGCACACTGATAGCTATTAGCACGCAAACGTGACATATTGGACATGGACGTAGAGATGGCCGAGCCTGGGATTGAACGCATGCACGATGCCCGATGCAAAGGAGCCATAGACAGCGCCTTCTCTCGTGACGGAGAGAAGCGTTGCGGGCCCGAACGGCGTCCGAATCGGATCCCCATGGCGCATCTCGAGCGCTTGGTTGTGGGCGTCGACAGAGGAGAGGATAATTCTGTACAAAATATCGTCGACGCGCAACGTCGCAAAGCCAAAGGGGAACCGCACGCTGAGCAGACCGCGCCCATAGCTACATTTACGTGAGCATGCTGATGTACGTACTACGTCACAAGGCGATCACGTACGTTGTGGCCGTGACGATGCCGCAACCAAAGAGGCGACACATCACGCGGTCGCTCGGTTGAAGGATACTCGCGGGGTTCAGAAAGGCCGACTGTGCCCAAGCCAGTTTGACTTCGATCTGCGCACCAGCATGCCGCACCGCGAGCACGACGGCAGGACCAAACACAGTGGCAATACTGTCACCCACGCCTAAGACGGTACTTTCTACGCCATGTCCATCAACATCGAGGACGTACTGGTGGTCGACGCATGCGCGGGCGGTAAATGGCCTTTCGCAACGAGAAGCTTGTACGCAACCTTGACGTCCATGATGAAGCGGTAGAGCAAGCCAAGGACATAGTCCGAGCTCGAGGACGGACTCTCGCCGAGGTACTGCGCGGCTTGACGCCACGCTTCCGTCATGACGGTCACGTCGTCTTGTAGCTTGGCGAGGTCCTCTGCGATATCCGCGGCTTGCTTCTCCATGACTGTCACAAAGGGAAGGACGACGGGAGCGATGACGACTGGCACCGGCGTCGTCGGTGGAACATTTTGCGTTTCCTTGCGGATCGCGGCCAAAAGCGCATGACGACCTCCCGTCGCGCTCGGGTCGGGCGAAGCAGCTGCCGCTGAAGTTGACTGGCCCTGACGAAGCGCAGCCATGAGTGCTGAACGAGGGTTGTCCGCCGACGTGGCAGCCTTTGCTGTTGTAGAGTCGGGGCTTGGTGTGCGAAGGGCGGCCATGAGAGCAGCACGAGGGTTGTCAACATCGGCCTCGGTGCCGGGCGCTCTCTTGCGAATCGCCGCAAAGAGGGCTGCGCGAGGGTCTGCTGGCGGAGAAGCCTCGGCGACGCGACTCGTTGATTCCGTCTTGCTTTCGGCACGCTGGCGAATCGCTGCCAGCAACGCATGCTGCGGAGTGGTGGCCTCGTCAGTGTTGTCGGTGTGCTGCAGCCGGATTGCCGCGAGAAGGGCACTGCGCGGTGGCGCTTCGTCGCCTTCAGCAATGACGTCGACCGTGCTGGCTTGGCGGCGGATAGCCGAGAGCAGCGCCGACCGACCTCCGGATGGCGCCACCGAATTTTGCCGGACGATCGCTTGTTTCTGCTGCTTTTGCACCTGCTGCTGCGCGCGCTCCCGAAGCACGTGCTCGTGGAGCTTCTCTTCCTTGATTTCGTACTTGAGATTGGCTAGGCCTTTCTGCAGCAGCGCACACTGCGAGAGACAGAGCACGTTCGAGTAGCGTTGCGCGGTCTCGAGTGATGCAAACTCGTGCAAAATCTGGAACAAATCCGTCTCGCCGCGCGCCTACAGACCGTGTCTAAAGCCGTGTATTTCGTCATCCAACGTAGTACGTGGATGAGCGTCATGAGGTACTGGAGAAGCGTGATACTTTGGTCCATCGAGCGCGTCTCGGAGAGCTACATAGCGTATTGCAGTGTTTCCAATCCCGTTGGTGGAAACGACCTTAAGGAGCGAGGCGAGGGTGACGCCGGACGCGTCAGCGTGCTCGGTGCCTTCGTTGAGCACGTTGCCGAGCGCGAGGACGATCTCAAAGTACCGGGGAAGCCGCTCGCTCTGGAGAATGTCTCTGGCAGCGACTGCAATTGCTTCGAGCTGTTGGCGCAAGGCCGCCGCCATGGCTTTGTACTGGACGACGTAGAGTAGCGACTTGATCTATTCCCGCCACAAGTTCTTAGATAAACCATGGCGAAGGTTGATATACTTTTTCAGCAATGCGCGGCTGCTTGACGAGCTCAATCAAAAAGTCTTCGGCGGGATCGGTGACTTTGCCACGAAAATGGCTGTAGCGCTTTGCCTCGGCTGGCGTCGGTGCAATCTCATCGAGTGTTTGGAGCAGATCCACGTGCAAGATGGAGAGGTCGCAGGCCGCCAGCGCGGCGACGACGCCGTGGACGCCCCCCGCGATCGATTTGAACCGGCTGAGCGCAATGTTGATGTTGTTGGAGCGACGCGAGTCGAGCGCCGAGAAGCCCGCCTTTGCCGACGTCTTCTTCAGCGACTTTGCCGTCGTGTTGTCGCCAAAGAGTTGAACGAGGCGGTCGAGGTCGCTGCTCGAGAGGGCCATCGGCGCCTTCCGCCGCTTGTCGGTTTGGCGATGCCAGATCGAGGCGTGGACATCCACCTTCTTAACGTCCAGCGCGGTCCAATGCAGCTTTCGGAGATTGCTCTTCTTGCGCAGCAACATTGGCGTTCGACTCGACGCCGCGGCACCGTGGCTCTGTGCGCTAGATCGAGTCGTCATGCACAACACGTTAATGAATGCACGCGTGTACCTCGTGCTCGCGCCACTCGGGTCCAAGGCCGATGTGAAGACGTGGATGATGTCCGCATCAATGTAGTCTTGCTGCATCTTTTGCCCGACGGCCGATGCAGGGACACCAAACGATAGCATCTTGAAGTACTTGTCCATGGAGGGGTTTTGTCGCAGCGCCTCGAGCGCCGCGTTCTCACCGCGTCCGTCCGTCCGTTGCTGCCGCGTCGCCAGCTACGCCATAGTCAAATAAGACGCAAGGAGACACCGCCAACTGTCTACCTCACTGTCGAGCGCCTTCAAGTAACAACGGTCGCACACGTAGCCGTCATCGCCCGACCGCGGTAGCGGAATGACGTGCCGCGTGCAGTTGGCACAACACTGCTTCAAGCACACGGGGCACTCTTGCGCGCGGCGAAAGAGAGAGAAGGGCTCCATGCATTGGCCACACGCTGCGTCCGATCGCGCCCCGAGCCACGACCCAAACAGCAGCTCTAACGCATCGCCAGGTACGGCACAGTCAGGAAATATGGCTTGTACCTGAGTAGGAGGTTTCCGATTCCTGCGTAACAGTGGAAGGGCGTTGTTGTCGTAGCAATCGCTCCTCGTCCGCCTCGAGCTCAGCGATGATGGTGCTCGTGGCCTTCAGCGCACGCTGAACGACGAGTTTCCAGCAAATCGCTTCGGCGGCGCCTCGGGATGCGTCCCACGCGTGGACATAGTCGGCACGGGCGACAACGCGGGCACGGTAAAAGATGTGCTTGGACCACACCTGTGCATCGTCCGTGGATGATGCGGACCGGTAGGAGAGGACGCACCATGGTATCCCGGTTGTCAATGAGCAGTGAGAGACCATGCTGCGATGGCACGGTGGCGCGGACGAGGAGCTCCGTCCACTGCGTCGAGGCGGATAGCGTCAGCACAGAGCTCACAGTCACCTCATTGCACTGCAGCGAGACGAGCACCTGCGCGTTGCTTCCCAAAAGCCGCAGCTGCAGTGCAAGCACCACATCCGAAGCTTCGTCGTAGCCATCCATGAGCGGGATCGCAAGCGATTGGCTGCGGCGAACGACCACATCGATAATCGGTTGTCCAAGAAGCAGGTACCGCACCGGGGTGCACTCGCGAATCGACTCGAAGGTGTCCGGATCCGACGCGCCATCAAAGCGCAGGACGTCGCCTGCGTCGATGGGATCGACGAGGACGAGCTCGGACGTTGCGAAGGGCGCCATGGCGTCTTCCATGTAGAGCGTGGGGGGAAATGTTGCGAACGATACATTCAGGTCGTCTTGGAGCGGCGCGAGGGCAAAGGTAACGCCATGCAGCGCCGAGAGAAGCGAAATCGCCGCCTTGGCGCGCGCATATGACCCCAGAAATGCAATCTCTGGAGCGTAATAGCGGTCGACGAGACTGCGGCGCTTGACGAGGTTCTCCAACGCACGGTGGAGCAGCCCGCGGTTGAGCGCGTAGAAGAGGAAGGCGCGGGCTCGGCTCCAACCCACGTAGCGCATCGACGGCGGCGGTGTAAAGAGCTGGGCGTCAGCAACCACAGACGCATCGTCCCGAAGCACATCGCGCGTTTGGATAAGGAATCCAAAATACGCTTCTTCGGGCCACTCGTCGTACATATCGGCGGGCTACATGCGTCCATATCGCAAGGCGCTCAGAGATGACTACGTACGTGAACGTGGATGCCGTGGCGCAAGATGGCCTCAAGCGCGAGGACGAGGTCCCTTGCAGCACCTGCATGTAGTGGCACGTTGGGCTGCTCCATGAAGAGCGAGACGGTGTCGACGACGGCGGTCTCAAGGCGCTGCAGGAGCGCATCATGCGAAGCCGTTGTCCGCGGGCTTCGGAACGCCTTCGGGCGGTCGACCGCGCTCGTCGAGCGGGCGCGGTAGACGTCGTTGTTGTACTTGATGTTGTACTCATTCGCGGCTTCCCGCGCAGCATGGAGCGCCTCGTGCGTTGTCCATAGCAGGCGGTAGCTCACCTTCTTGCTGCGGAGCCGCGAGTACTGGTTGTCCCATGTGAGCACAACGTGGCTACCGACCGGGACGTCCTCGAGGATTCCTTCGACGAGTTTATCAGCTGCTTGATACCGGTGGCGGAACTGGTCGCATGGCGCGCCGTCGACCTCGACGCGGAACCCGACATCGAACGCATGCACCGTAAACTGCCACGCGAGGACTCGGTCATGCGCTGGCGCCTGCGTCGGGAGGTCGATCCTCTCTCCGCGCGGGACCTTGAGGATCTCCATGGCAATGGCCTGCAGAAGGAAGGACGCGGGCGTCGGAAGCACGTCCGAGGCTTCCATCGTCGCCGAGATCGCGCAAGATTCGCTGCGGGGAAATGAAACCTCTATAAACACATACAGAAATATCAATGTATGGAAATATGTATTCATAGAGGCAATTCATTGATTTGGATTGCCGCCAAGTCGGCGCGCGACGAGCCGCTCGATGCGAGCGAGAGACGTGGTGAGCTACATGTATAACAACAACGCATCGTGTATGTACAGCAGCATTATCAGCAGGGAAAAGCAAGCGGGATATATGCTCTCCATCTAGACGTACCCGCTTGATTGGCACATTTGCCTTGTGAATTTGAACACTAACAAACAAGCTAGGCGCTGTCCGCTGGATTGCAGTTGAAATGGTTTCTGACGTCGCATCTTGACGTTGTTGAGAGCTGCTGCGTATGGCTTGTGTACGACAGACCGGCTTTGGACCTGTGAGAATGCATACTTCCATCGAAAGTATCTTTTTGGATTAATAAAATGCCATGTAATATCCAAAAACCCGGCGGTCTCTACGTGTTTGTATGTAGAAAGGACCCAACGCCAAACTCCCTTTAAATTTTGGCCCATCTATTTCCGGGAGTGCCAGTTTGACAGCATGGCGGCGCCGACCGACGTCTGCGCGCGGCAAAGCGCCAAGCTCGAGGAGCTCATGAACTTCCTCGGCTACGCGGTCCTCGACGATGGCTACAAGGGCGTGGTAGACGTCGCTATATGCATGCGCGTTGGACGCCTCATCTGCTTTGTAGGTCGTCTTCTCGTTCCTCAACCACGCGCGGCAGATTGTCTGCGTCCGCTCCGTGGACACGACCGCCAGTAGGCGTCGACGGCGTTGAACGAGCTGGAATCGCTCATGGCGCGTGGTAGAGATCCGCATTTATGCGTCGCGGCCACCGCCGCAGACCGACTGCGTGGACATTGCGCTGTCGATTTCGGATTTTCTGCACATGTACAGCGGCGAGCTCACGGCTGCCGAGATCGCCGGGCTCTGCATGTCGGGCAAGGTACTTGTGCATGCACGCACACATGGGCGACAAGATATGACGAGTAGGTCCAAGTGCGATGGACTGCGTACGGCAGCGTCAAGGCGTTTGCTGACTCGTTTGACTTTTCGCCGGAAAAGTGGGCCGCGTTTTACGACCACTTTGGGCTTGACCCGAATTATGTCGACTTGATCGAGTGCACAATGTTGTGCTGCGCGCCATTGCCGCCCTGCACGCAGGTGCGTCTTTACCCTGCGCGCGAGTATGTTGCGAACGCGATGGTGCAGGAGGAGATCGACTCGAACTGGCAAATGGTCAAAGATTCGGTCTTGCTGCCATCGAACGAGCTCGGCTGGGAACTGGTGTCGGAGGTGGAAGTCACGACAGTTGTCAAGAGCCCAGACGCGGCAACGGCGGCCGCCACCGAGGCCAAGCAAGATTGGTTCAGCGATGGCCTCAAGACCATCAACCCCCATTTTGTGCAAATGCAAGACACGGTCAAGAAGAAGATGTTCAACATGAAGGAGTACGCCGAGAAGTTTCTTGTCTCGATGGACATTTGAGCAGTCTCGACTCAGCGGCCTCGAGCGTGCTACAGTATATATAATCTATATTTGAGAGACAATTTGGGTGACAATTACGTACAAAAAGACATGCTACTATGAAGTCGAGTCCTGAGGTATCGACGGCGCTGCGACTTGGTGAAATGCAACGACATGTGAACGAACAAGGACAGTCCGACAACGGCGCAATCGGATTGGACAAAACGAATCCTTTTTGCAGTATTTATGGATTAAAAAATTGTTTTTGGCCAATCGAATGGCGTATCAACCGATTGGGTTTTGGAGCGAAAGGTGAAGATGGAGGCAAGCGCGCTCTTCACGATTGCGACGGAGCTCCAGGCGCTAGGCAAGGACGCGAACGCGCTGCGCTGCTTCCTCGTACGACGTCCATGCACGTAGCTCTCGATGGCATCATGGAATACACTAGGCCATGCGCCTCGCGCGTGCCAAGCTGCACTTGAAGGCGACCGAGACGGCGTTCGTGGATCTTTGCATCGCTGAGCTGTACCTGCAGCTCGCCTTGACGCATGCGGACGATCATTCCGTGCACATGAATGCCATCAAATGTGCCCAGGACCTCCCGCATGCGGTGCCCGCCTTCGTGTCTGACATCCTGCCCATCGATGCACTCGAGGTACTTGCGTGACATGGCAGCCGAAGCTCACGTTGTCATCAGTGGGCCCCGCGGCGCCTTCGTTGCAAGTGGATGCTGCTTGTGCTTCAAAAAGCGCCCCACAATGAGCGCGTCGCGACCTTGTGCGAAGGCGCGAACGCATGCGACGGTCAGCCCGAGCTCGATGCGTGGCATGGGTGGTTCGTCGCCACACTCCAAGACCAGCTCGACGATGTGCACGCCGCGGTTCTCGATCGATCCATTGCTCCATCCACGTTTGGCGAGGTGGCGGCTGCGGCCTACCGCCTCGCTGCACACACGACCGACTCTACCTTCAAGGTCGGTGCACCCTTCGATGCCCCGTCTTGTTGACGACTGCGCTTTCCTAGCTATGGCTTCTCGAGACGCTGTGCCACTCGTTCTTGGTGGCAGACACGCTCGTTGCCGAGAGTGCGGCCAAAATGTTTGATTTTTGCAGCCAGTTTGCGCGGCAAGTCGAGGACGCAGCGCTCTCGTTTTACTTTCATCTGCTCCGCCTACTCCTGTACCTGCGCCAAGGCCGCATTGTCGACGCCAAAGCCTACCTCGCAACGATGCCAAAGGCACCGAAGGAGAGCAACCCGTTCTGGTCGCTGTATGCTGCCTTCATGACGTTTCGGCTGCAGTGTTACTACGACCCGAACCAAGGCCTCGCCCTCGCGGCCAAGCAAATGGCCCGCTGGCCGCCGTATCTCGCGTCACCCGACTCGGCGGCCTACCTGCGCTACAGTGCGCTCGCGCTCTTCGAGACATACGAAGTCGCGTGCGTTGTCTTGGACAGCCAAGGGCGGTTTGGCGAGCTCGCCGACCTCGCCACACGCCTCGTGGACCTCTGCACCACATACCGACACATTGTCGTGGCGACGCCACTCGTTGTCGCCCGCGTGCACATTGTGCTGGCACGGGTACAGTCTCTCTTTGAGACGACTTCGCGGCTCACGCGCCCTTGTGCTCGTAGTACGCCCACTCGCTCAATGCGATGGACGCGGCCGTAACGCACATCAACTCGGCGTTCTCGCTTTTGTTGACCGAGACACCGGCGTGGCCGCAGCAGTCGGACGCGAGCTTGCTCGTGCTCATGGACATCCTCGACGTGGCAACCACGATTGCGATCGATCCGCTGCCAGAGCTGGACCCCGCAGGTGCCATCGTTGCCGACGCTTTGAACGACGATGCGGTGTCAGAGATTGCAAGTTTTTACCCGACGGAGAACCTTCTTGAATTTGCCGCCGGCATTTTGCGGGATGCAGAGCTGCGCAAGCTCATTTACGACGGCCCGTCCAAGGAAGTCCGCGCCAAGGTAATGCGCCCTTGCTTGAGACCAACATGTATGCATTGCATATTGTAGTACGACCTCTATCTCGGCAAGTGGCTCTGGGCAAGCCATGCTTTGGGCATGACAGGGTCCTACCCGGAGCTGGACGGGCTTCGCAGCTTTGGCCTCTCGATCCTCCAAGACTGCCTTACACTCGCAAGCACGACCATCAACTGCAGCAATACGACCGCGGCCATCATGGTGCTCTTTGGCCCCAAGCTCGCAACGAGCGGCAAGGTTGACGAGGGCGAGCGCACGCTCACGGACGCGCTCAAGATTGCGATCCACACGAAGAACGTGCGGCTCCAGCTACAGATTATGGTCGAAGTGCACGCGTCCTGCGCGCGCAAGTACCAAGCCAAGCCACAGTCGGTCATCGCTGACAAGTACAAGAAGAAGCTCGCGTCGTATTCGCGGAAGGTGCTCCGCGCGCAGTATGGCTCGGAGGCCTACCGCCGCCTCCTCAAGTGGACGCTGCCGAAAGAGCCAACAACGAGCGACGCTTAAGCCACGTCATCATAGAGTCTACAAGGAATACATGTTGGCTTAGAGGCGCGAGAGGGCGGTCGTCGCCGTGCGCACGACTTGCTGCGGCACGTTGTCGACGCGCATCGCGTGGGCGGCGGCCGAGCCCGTCATTTCCGCCTACGTGTCATATAGATGAGCCGGCGGCAGGCGGAAGGCGTCGTACCATGAAGCGCAGTTCGTTCTCAAACGAGACTGTGAAGCGGCCCACGAGGAGGCTCGCGACCTTGGCAAAGAGCTCCATCGCTACGTTCGCTGCCATCGTCGGTCGGATTGTGTTGATGGCATCATTGAAGATCGAAGCAAACTTCGAAGGCGAAAAACACCCAACTTGGACCCTCCCACAATGCATCCAAATATGTGTTTCCTGTATAAATGGATACGAGGACCTCGGCGCCGCTTTAAATGTTAGCTTTTGGCGAGTACCGGCAGTCGACTGCTCTTTCGACAATCGATCGCATCTGACATCGCTGCTTCCAAGGTCGTTGATAGGCGGGAATAAGCTTACCTACAGCATTCCAGAAGCCCTTTCCACTGCCATACGTGGCCGAATCTGGTTGAACGTCACCTCTGCTACCGTTATATTATTTTTCTCCGAATTATCAACAGCAAGTAATGTCCCACGGGGAAAATGACTTGCACAGAGTATGCCATTCTGTCAATATTGCGAAACCAGGATAATAATATTGACAGTCGTGGGTTTGTAAAGCATTTGCATTTAGTAAATTTTTTTCAGCGACGATGCGGAATAAAATACCGACCGTATTTGACCTGGGAGAGCGCTCACTGCCCGTCGCGGCCGACCGCGCTGCAGCCTTCGCCACGCTGGGACATCGTTATTACACCCAGCAATTTCACCGCCATTTTCCCGCAGAGTGGTGCTTTGGGACAAGGAATCCCGTTGGCGCCACTTGGATTTTTCCGGTTGCGGGAGAGTGTTGGTCGTGAAGCCTAGGCGCTAGCCATCCGTCAATTACCAAATCACCACCTCGCCCAGAACCAGGATGACCGCTTCGACCAAGGTGAACCTCGTGTCCCAGGACGGCGACAGCTTTGAAGTCGCGCGTGACGTGGCGTGCGTGAGCGAGCTCGTCAAGGCCATGCTGGCCGACGACGAAGGCGACGACACCGTCCGCGAGATTCCGCTGCCCAATGTCAAGAGCCCCGTGCTGGCCAAGGTCATTGAGTTCTGCAACCACCACCACACGACGCCGATGGAGGAGATCGAGAAGCCCCTCAAGAGTGGCGACATGCGCGACGTGGTTTCGGAGTGGGATGCCGCCTTTGTCGAGGTCGAGCAGGATACGCTCTTTGAGCTCATCCTCGCCGCCAACTACATGGACATCAAGTCGCTACTCGACCTCTCGTGCGCCAAGGTCGCGACCTTGATCAAGGGCAAGACCTCGGACGAGATTCGCACCATGTTCAACATTGAGGCCCCCGCGGAGGGCGAGGCCGTGACCATTGAATCCTAAACGTTGTGGTGGCTTCGACCCCGAGCGTCGCTTGTAGCGACTTCTATATCTAGCAAACTATTCATTGTTCCCACATGATGTTGTTGTCCTGCATTCGACACTTGGGCGAGGCGCAAACAAGGTACACAGATAGTTCGCGCTATATCGATGGCGTCCTGCGTGCAAGATCTTGCTGCTATAGATGCAACGTCGGGTCTTCATATACGGTCGGTCCATGAAAGCTCAGTAATGGCTCAACTGTGTGTCATATCACAAGAGGCCGCATCGCTGCTGCAGGACGTCGACACGCACTCTGACAACGCCAACCCTGCGGTTGGTCTTGAACATGACGTGACCAAGGTCATGTCCGCCTTGTCAGCTGTGCACATGCGTAGCCCCTGTCTCCTGCAAGGCCACCCTGCCATGTTGATACGTACTCGTACTTGAGAATGACATGTTAGTGGACGTGTACAATCTCCAGTCAAACCAAGCCGTAAACATAATTTAAAACCAGCGTTATGAAGGTAGAGCCTATTTCAGCCCACGAACGCTGCGCCTCCGAGCAGAAGAAAGCGCATGGATTTGAACGCTACGTACCGGGACGTTCACTTGCGATGGTCAGTTTGACGTTGCCGTTGCATCCCAACCCGTTGTGAATGATGGTGGCGTGAGTGATGGTCGTATCAAGTGGTGTTGGGATCGGAATGCCATTTTCCAATTCCAACGACAACAAGCATGGCTCCCAAGCGCAAGGCCACTTCGGTTGCGACGACACCCAACAAGAAGTCGGCGCGTAGCAACTGCGGCGCGATCAGTCCCGTCGCCGCCAATGCGCTCGCAGCGCTCGGCATCGCGCAGTCGACGCTGCTACGCGCTGCATCCCTCGCCCTTGTGAACGTGAGCACCAACATGGACAAGTACTACGAGCTCCAATTGCTTGCTGCTGGCACCGATCACTACTTGTTTGTGCACTGGGGCCGCACGGGCACGGCGGGCCAATCTCAGCTTCTCGGGCCGCAGTCTCTCGACGCGGCGACCGCGGACTTTGACGCCAAGTTTCTCAGCAAAACGGGCAATGCGTACGCTCCATCACAGCCGTTCGTGCGCGTCGCGGGCCGCTACGACTTGCTCGCGGTGCAGGAGGCGTCGGCCACGGGCGTCTGGGAGTACTACGTCAGCGACGGCGTCGACGGCAAAGCCACCGCCTGGTATCCGTATGTCGACGACGCGATCGAGCGCATGGAGCTCCTCTGGCAAACCTTCCAAGCCAACGAAGGCTACACACAGCGCATTGTCCAGTCCGGCTACTGGTCGTACCTGATTGACTTGGTGCAAATGACCCAAACCAACATCCAAACCAACAAGAAGCGCACGATTCGCCGGTCCGCGCCCATCCTTCCGATGGCGCCCACGAAGATGGACAAGAAGATGCCAACGACCAAGTCGTTGCACTCGTTCTCCGTCGTGTCGATCGACGGCATGGACCTCGACGTGAACCTCGCGCTCATCGACATTGAGGCGGGGCGCGACGACTTTATCGACCTGACGCTTGTCGAAGCCAGCGGCAGCACGTACCTCTGGACCATCACAGGCAGCTGCGGCGAGCGCACGGGCGAGACGTTTGACGGTCCGTTTGACCGCAAAGAGGGCGAAGCCCGGTGGAAGGCGGCGTACTTGGAAGCCACGGGCCACGTCTTTGGCAGCGGCCCCTTTGTCCGCGTCGACGGCAAGTACGACGTGCTGACGATGCCGGATGACTGGGTCGTCACGGAGGGCAACCTCAAGACTTACGTTTTGGTTCCCCTCGGTACCTTGCTCCAGCGCGACGTGGCGGCCGACCTCTGGGCATGGTACCACCACAACCCAACCTACTCGAAGCGGCTCATGACATTTGACCATGTCGTCTACTGCATCGACTTTGAAAAATGACGGCGGCGTCGGTCATCAACCCCGCGGTCGCGTGGAACGTTCTCAAGATGACGGCGCTCAAGTGATAAGGACACTTGATGTCTATATTTCAACCACCATTTTTTAACTAAATTGCATCTTTCTCCCCATCATGTTTGCCCGAAGAAAAGTGTGGCAAATTCAATACATAATAGGTTACAGGCGTCGGGTCTAAAACTCAAACTCAACCACGACATTCTTGGTCTGCGGCGGCGGCGCCTTGGCTTCTTGCTGATACTTGCGCAGGACCTCTTCGTAGTCGTCCGTCTCGCGCCCAAGCGTCGACCGAGGCGAGTACAAACTGTAGTCGTCGTCGAGCGACGATCGCGGGCTCATGGCCGAGTCGTACGACTGCGCGAGGATGCAAGAGACAGGAGTGAGGCAGTCCAGCGTCACGTCGTCGTCGACGATGCCGTCCATCCACGAGGCATTTTGGCTCGACACGTGGTGGTATTTCGGCGGCTCCAACGCCGGCTTGCTTCTACTCGAGGATTGAGACGACGCCGTCGTAGAGAACGAAGACGCGGACCCGTTCGAGTCTTTTCGGCGCACGGGCTTGACGGCCTCGGGGGTGCTGCTGTGCTCCGAGCGTTTTTTGTGAGGAGCTTGCTTGTCTTCGCGAGAGCTGCGCTTCGTGTCCCGCTCCGGCGACGTATCTGCTCGCCGCGGGTCAGGTCCCGACGCCGATCGGGCCATGGGCGGCGGCGGCGGCGCGTCGTCAAGTCCCTCGTCGTCCTTTCTGTGGTCGCCACCCGCGCGCTTGTACACTCTCGGCGCGTGGCCGTCGCCCGCTCGGTCCTGGGCCGCGGATGCGGCCTTGATCTTGCCAAACTGGCTCACTTCCATTGTCTGCGCCTTCTTCAAGCCCGGATGCCGAGGCTGCGTCGCAAAGACAGACGTCGGTGCCTGGTACGGGGTCTGCGTGATGGGCGCGCTGTTGTTTTCTCGTCGCCTGTCGACGTCGGTCATGGGCGGCCGCTGCGCTTCGTGGCCGGCGTACGTTTGTTGGCGCACGAGCCCGCGCCGGTCCAGCGACTGCGTGACGGCTTGGTAGTTGCCGCGGCGCGAGCGAGACGAGGGCGAGAGCGACCGATCGAGCGACTCCATCGCGTTCATGCGCGGGCCAACGTTCGACTTGAGCTTGGGTTTCTGTTGCTGTACCGGGCCAAAGAAGAAGTCGAGGAGCCGCGAGCTCTGCACCGCCTTGGACGCCGGCGACGCGCTGCCCTCGTGGCGCGTCTGGAGGCGGTTGACGCGCATGGACTTGGTCGGGTATTGCAGGAGGTTCGCCGGCGGTCCCGGCGTCGACTCGGTCGTCGTGTCGACTCGGATCATCGGCGACAGCAATGAAAAGGGGACTGACACCGAGTATCCGTACGCTGTAATGCGGCAGAAAGAGTGTGTCGATCCGTAGCCGGTGCGAAGAGGCTGCAGCTACGTGCACGCAACTTTGCATACATTCTACGATGGCATCGATGCTCAGATGGTACTTTAAAGAGTCGTGCGAATAGCCAATTTTGCCTGTCACGGAGCATGTGACGCCGCGCTTTTGCGTCGCCTCTAGCCGAGCGGCTCTTTTTATCGCGCGCGTCAATTCCCATTACATTCGCCAAGTACTTTGTGACGAAACGCTAAAATATGACGAAACTGGCTGCTTCCAACCCGACTTTCTCGAAAGCGTCCATATTTCTACAATACACGGTCCCCTGGGACAAGGCACTCGGTATTGATCATTGCCACCCTCTCTTCCAATTCGCGACAGGGCGATGGACCTTGATGCGGCCGTCTCTGCAGGTCCAAGATACCACGATAGCAGCCACACAAATGCGTATATCGCTGAGACTTGCCGTCAACCTCCGATTGGACGGTAGCAAAAGCGGCACCTTCGTCGAGCCTACCTCTATGAACGACAAAAAAGCTCCGTGGACAACTCGTACTTTAGGACGCTCCATCCTGGACCCTCAACATCGTTTGGAGCGAGTGCAAGACTCTGTGAGCTACAGCTAATGACCAGGCTAATGACACAGCTCATCTGTGAGAGGCCAACTCAACCGGTGTCTGCTGTTTCGAACGCTCGAGGCGTGGCTGGTATAGAGAAAACCTCTCTGCAAACTACTCCGGCGTGGTATTCACTGCTCGGCTTTCACTAGCATGACGTCTATCGCCGCTCCCGCGCTGCAAGACCGTCGTGCTACCACTACAGTGTAAATGGCTCAAAGATCGCTGCCGCTGTCTTGACGAGTGGAGCGCAGAGTAGAAGGCTAGGTCTTTGAAACACGACAGAATACCATGAAGCCCGAAGCAGCATGAGACAATGGCCTGAAGAAGACAAGGCCAAGCCAAGAGGACAGGGCAGGTCGCGCCGGAAATTGTGCATAAATTGAGACAGAGACGAGAAACGTCGATTTCTTGAAGCATGTCCTGGTCGGATCGTGAAAGCGCGCGACTCTCTCCGTGGGACGCGTGCTCAAGTGCAAAGGCAACCTCAAGAATCTACAGGTCAAGAGCCATGGTGCATAGCAGCCACCCTCGTCATGGCCTTGTCCGTGTTGGCGGCGTCTTGGCAGTGCGTCCACTGTTACACATTAGGCGCTGTAATGTGGCGCCAACGACCGACGCCTCGACGATCCACGTAACAACAACTGCCTCCATTACGCACGGCAAGTGATGTCTACGGTCGCAGCTCGTCGGTGTCGTCGTCCGCCGTCGCTTCCTTCGCCGCTTCCTGCGCTTGAAGCAGCTCGATGTCTTCCAAAAGTTGGTGTACCGTTGGGCGCAAGATGATGTTGACACCTTCCTGGGCAGCGAGGCGGCGCTCCCGGGCCTGCACGCGCACGCCAAAGCCAAAGATGGTGCAGCCGCGCTCAATGTCCTTTGTGGTAATGTTGCCGAGGCCGACGTGGGCCGTGTGAATGAGCGGCATCGCATCCACCGTATCAAGAATGCTCGTGAGCGACCCCGCCGTGTCTGCCTTGATGACGATCGGCGCACCAAAAAAACCCTTGAGCGGCACTGGCTCCGCGACCTCGTCTTCTTGGGTCTCGTCTTCCTTGAGCACTGCGCACTCTTGAAAGTCCATGTTCATTTCCCTGCACGACAACAAGAGAGCTGTGATGCAAACGACGCGGTCAATACGCAACGCACCGTTGTGCCATGATCTCTTCGGCGCGGTCCTTGGATACGACGTGGAAGCCAAACTCGAGCGGCGCGTCGCGGTGCCGAGACACATTTTTGAACGTGACGTCGACGACGTGGCCCGGCGACGCGACGGGCACGACGTCGCCGTTGGCGTTGCGAATCGTCTTGACGACGCCGTGGATCATGCCGCAGATGAAGTGGTCCTTTGGGTGCAGCAGCCCATGGAAGATCATGACGCGGATGACCGTGCCCATGCCAATCGAGGCGACAACCTCGAGGGCCGTGCCTACGGTGCATGAGGGATTGGAATCGTCACAGTAGAGACCAACGGACCGGTGGCGTCGCCGCCCTTTGTGCCATAGTACGCGGTCAGGTCGACATTCGGCAAAATGGCCAAGATCTTCTCCTTGAGCTCGTCCAAGTTGGTTCCGAGCTTGGCCGAGATGGGCACGACGGGGCTCGTCTCGAGCGCGACGTAGCTGCGCACCTCTTTTTCGACCCTACGATTCTGTCACGTCAGCATGTCGGCGCTGGATCTGCACAGACGCACGCGTCGAGGGCGTCCGGCGTCGCCTTGTCCATCTTGTTGATGCACACAATGCTTGGGACGCCGAGGTCTTCGATGCAGCCGATGGACTCTTCGGTCTGGAGCAAGCAACCCTCGTCGGCCGCGACGACCAAGACGACGACGTCAGCGACCGACGCCGCGTTGTTGCGCATGCGCGTAAAGTGAAAGTGCCCCGGGGTATCGAGGAACGTCGCCGGCGTCTCAAAGTTGAGGTCGGTCAAGCACACGTGGATCTTTTGCGTAATGCCTTCCACTTCGCGGTCGGCGACGTTCGTGCCCCGGAGTGTGTCCATGAGTGTCGTCTTGCCGTGGTTGACGTGGCCCATGACGGCAATCACCGGCGGGCGCGTCTGGCACATGTCCCGCTTCTCGTGCGGAATGTCGTGCTTCCCGACCGCCTCCGGCTCGACGCTGTCGTACACCACAAGCGCGTTATGGTGGGCCGCGATCTTGGCCGCAACCTCGAACGGCAAAATGACTTGCTTGAGCGTCTCAAACTTGTACTCGACGTTGTTGTGCGTGAGGTAATACTTGTGGTAGTGCTTCTTGCACGCGAGCTTGGCGACGTCGTCCGCAGGCACCTTGAGCTTCTTGGCCAAGTCGCGCACGCGAATGTAGTTGGGCAGCAGCACGGTCTTCTTGAGCTTCGAGGCAAATCCGCGCGAGCCCGCGAGCACGGTCGTCGACCGCAGGTTGCGCCACAGCATCTTTGGTCGTGGCCAAGAAAGAGCAATGGCACCTGATTGGCTACACGCCAGCGAATCAAAGTGCGTCCATTGCGACCTTTGACCCAACCAATCATTGCACGAATCCACTACATTACACTATTTCCAATCATTCAACACGATTTCATGCACCGCGTGGTACTATCGCGAGTTGAAGAGACATCTTCAGAGACAGCGAAGACGAGAGACCACTCTTTCATGCACGTCGCCAGCACCACGCCGCTTCAGACTGACTACACTGCACTACCTCGCTAAATGATCGTGCTGGACATCTCTTCGTACATGAGTATCAGCCGTCTCAGGTGGAAGAGGAGGAGGATAATCATCATCACGATGGCAACCGGCTCAGGAAATGCGCGCAGAAAAATCCAGTGCATGCGACGTGAAATACTGTGAAGTTGCTCTTTGTCGATGTCAACACTTCCACAACGTCGACGCCAGCTCGTCGACGCCGTGCGCGACGAGTACTGCTTGTAGCCCATCCCGTTGGTTGCGTAAGATAACTTTCGATCCAATAACGTCCGTCGACTTGCATGACGTGATGCTGCAACCGCAGGAGGCGAAGTTGCTGCGGTCTCTATAACGCGCCGCGCTGCACAGAAAACGGTGGCCGCAATAGGGCGAGTAATAAGAGGCTTCTTTCATCTAGGCCCCGCGCGCATTGAGCTCTCGGCTCGTCGGCTTGATGCCTACCGGTAGCGAGCGATCGAAGCGGTGCTGGATTAGGACTTGGCGCATGAGCCAGCACGTCGACGCCGCCAAAAGAAACGCCAAGTGTACGGATACGTGTCTATTTTTCCGGATGTCTATCAACCGGTCGTGATTTTTTTACGAGATTTTATTTTGCATACAAAACGCAAGGTGTTTGTGCCATCGGCCGGCGGATAAAAAGTCTGGCCATGCAAGTGTTCAGAGCGTTTTTGCAGTCGCCTAGTTCTCCGAGGGTTGGCGACCACGCGTAAGATCTCCATGATGATGAACTGCATGATGCTCCCGGCAACCGAGTCGACGATGGTCATGGGCGGCCTCGCCGACGACGCCTGCAGCCTCGGCGGGACGACGCCCCTCGACTTTGCCTACGACGGCGCGCCGTCGACGCACGCCGAGCTTGTCGCTCGCGCGTCCACGATCGACGCGTGCTGCAGCCCCGCTGCCGTGCGCCGAGGCGGCGAGGCCACGCGCAAGAACCTGTGTATATGCGTCGACGACGTCGCGGCGCGGCTTGGCGCGATCGACAACAAGTCGGATGATGACGACGACGACGACGTGACGTCCGAGGCGAGCGACTCGGCGACCGCCGACGATGTCGAGTATGACGACGACGAAGCCATGTGCAAGCGGAAACGCATGGGCACGTTCGACGCCGCCGACGACACGTCGGGCTACGTGAGCCTCGCGTCCTGTGAAGAGGCCTTCCACGGTAGAGCAGTGTCGGCACGAGATGGTCTGACCGCATGATCTAGTCTCCAAGCGCCCCAAGCTCGAGTCCATCGACTACTCGTGCTCGTACCCTGGTAGCATTGCGGAGACGAATGCATTGGCTCATCGACGCCATTAGAGACGACGGCGCACGTCCAGCTCTCGGCCGTCCACAATGACTCGATGCGCTTCTTCTTTACGCCTTTTGGCGCCGCACCGTCGATGGGCGCATCGCAGCCGCTCGCGGTGCAATTCCCATTTGCAGCGTCAGGGACCTTCGAGATGGTCGGCTCGTCGCGCGTGATCGCGGAGAAGACGCGGTCGACACCGGCCACGCCGCGCCTCGTGGACATGGACCCCTGATCGTCGCATCGCCCTCGTCCCGTATTTATCTCTCTTCTTCATCGCGACGACCGGTCCACCTCCTCGATCGATCCCTGTACTACTCGACTGTAAAAAATCTCCACTATTCTCCCATGCTTGTCAAGGTGTAGAAGCAGAAGTAGAAGCGTCGTCATATAGGAACCGAGCATACACGAGGGTGCGCAATCCCTTACGGCATGGCCTGGAGCGCGCGGGCAGCAAAGAACTGCACGTCGCCGTCCGGGTCTTGGAGGAGCGCGTGCAGGCACGGGTGGGCCGTCGTCGCGAGGACGGCCGGGTCGACGGGGCCGACCATGGATTCCAGCGTCTTGGCCACGTTGAAGCGGATGTTGGGCACCGGGTCCTACAGAAAAAAACACCGTGTTGAGCGCCTCGAAAAGACAGCCAAAGGTACCGCGGCCAGCTCGAGCACGATCGGGAGAATCGTGGCTTGGATCGCGTCGGATGGCATCGCTTGCGCCAACACCTACGTACGCGATGCATCAGTTGGATGAAGGGGCGAGAACGGACCTTGACGGCGCGCAGCGAGATCATGCGGTAGAGGTAATTCGGGTTGGTGTGCATGGTAAATATTCTGGGCACGATGTGGTGCCGGGCCCAGTCGACGCCAAAGTGCTGTGTCAAGCGCTGCAGATTCAGCGCCGCGGCCTCGCGGATCGAGAAGACGCTGTCGCAGAGCCAGCTCATGCACATCTCCATGAGGTGCTCCTCAAAGTACGAGACGCCCAGCTGCGACGCGAGCGTCGGTACAAACTCGATGATTGCGAGACGCACGCGCCACTGCCGGTCCTCGGCCAGCTGCACGATCGCCGGCAAGAGCGACTGCGAGAGCTGGTCGATGCCAACCACGTCGTTGACGTGGTCGAGGTTCGAGATGATGTTAAGACGCACTTCCGAGTTCTCATCCGACAGCAGCTAGCCGCATTTGGTGTCTCAACACTAAGATCTACGCATCGATGGCAGTGTACCTGCAGGAAGAGCGGCAGCAAATGTGCCACCGCATGCTCGCGGCCCAAGTACGGCGCCATCTTCATGACGACCGACGCCAGCGACGCGCGAACGTGCTCGGACGGATCCCGCGCCAAGGCCGTGCACGACGGAATCACCTTGGCCACGAGCTGGGCCGGGTGGATAAAGGCCGACGCCCCGTGCGTCTTGGACGCTGCAATCGTCTTGACCTCGGCCTCCGTATCGCCCAGAAGCGGAACCAAGCACGTGTCACCTACACAAAACAACCGAATGGAAATTGACGATCGCCAAGTGCGCGTACAGATGGTCGTGCTGGCCACTTCCGGCCCAACGGCCTCGCAAATCTCGGGGAGCTTGTTGCCGACCGACCACCGGACGCGCCACGCCGTGTCTTTGGCGGCCGCGCAAATGATCGGGATGAGCTGCGTCATCTTGACGTCTTCCGGTACGAGCTGCGCGAGGGCCACCGCGTTGTCGACCGTTTGAAGGCGCACCGAGTCTTGGCGATCTTGCGCGAGCGAAATGAAGAGCGGCATGAGCTCGGTATTGGCCGTCGCCGCGTCCGTCTACTTGGTCGTTAGAATTCCGTACAGAAAGCAGCAGCGTACCAACAACGCAAACGGACCCAGCGCCGTCGAGGCGGCCTTGCGCACGAGCGGGAGGTCGTCACGGCAGAGCTGGCCAAACATGCCCCGCATTTCAGCTTGGATCGCCGGCGTCAATGCGTTGTAGCCCACTTGAAAGAGACTGCAAGCAGCAATGCGCGACGTGTACCTAGAAACTACTGCGTGAGCCCAATGATCGTTGTAGAGCGCGACGAGACCAGTCGCGCGTGACAAGGCGGCGCAAGACTGCCACAAAGTGCTCCGTAATGTGCTCTGGCGACATTTGCTGCACGACCTTGACCATCGACTTGCACGCCTACGGATGCATGTCACCACTGGAGTGAAATCATGGTTTCTGTCGCCTACCATGTCTCGGACCGCGGCCTCGTCCACGGCCACGAGGGTTTCGAGCAAGAAGAGCAAGTGATACGCATTGAGCGCACCGCCGACGAGTTCGACAAATTCGCCTGCAAGATGCGTGAGACCATGTCGAGACAATGCAGTAGCTCAATGTACCAAGCTCTTGCGCGAGCGCCAGGAGGATCTCGTCGTCGTCGTCCAAGGTCTCTTTGCACCACTCGTGTGAGGCCCATGGGTCGCCCGAGGATCGCAGTACCGTTAAGAAACGGAAGCAGCTCGTCACGCGTGCGCTGCGGGCCGAGCGCCGAGGCTACATGCAAGGCCATGAGCCACAGCGACGCGCATGCTCATGGTACCAATCACTTGCACCTTCTTGATCGCTTGCAGCCGCAGCTTGGCGTCGTCATGGCGCAGCTCGTCGACCAAGACGGCTACGGCGTTGATCGTCCCATCATCTAGGCAGCGCCATGAGCTCCATGCTGCGGCGTCGACCACGCGTACCTTCCATCGCGTCTACCGTCACCTCTCTCGCGGAAGTCGCTCCGTCGCTGGAATTAGCTTGTGGGGAGAAGACACAAGCCAAATGTATGGGGCGCTCGAAACCTCTTATACATAATATCTATACCACATGTATTTCAAGAGGTTGGAACGCGTTGCCTGAGTTGGTCGACCGGTCAACTTGCCGTCGAGCGACTTGATTTTGCTTTCTCCAGCTCCCGCGAGCTCTCGCGTCCATCGCTAAACAATCAACTCGTGGGTGGGTGTACATCAACTCAACAAACGACGACGACCTACTAACTAAAGCGTGGCCGAGATCTTTGCGTCAGGATATTTCCATGTCGCAGGCCTCGTTCGCAACAACGGTACCTCAAGTGCAAGGTGACTCGACTTTCCCACAGCTCCACCACAGCGCTGCCCAAGGTCATGCTACTCGATGCTCCGCCATCGAAAGCTCGTCAATCGCAAGCAGCCATGGACGGAGGCGACTGGGCGTGGACCGACGACACCTAACCTCACTTGCCGCCGGTCGCGAAGATCGCGTGGCTCGCAACACACACACGTGCACGTCATTCACAGACGTTATCGCAATCAAACGCAGAGAAAGGAAGAGATGCATTGGTGCTGCCGGTGGCTACGACGACGCGCGGCTGCTCGATGGTGCTGGCGCGCGGTTGGCGTGCTTGTGGTTTTCGTACTCTTGGTCGTCCGTGGGCAGCTCAAAGCGACAGACAGGGCATGAGTTGTGCTACAGAAGCTCGTGTCAATGCGGATGGCATAAGACGGCTTCGTACTTGGGCCAGCCAGGGCAGGATGCAGTCCGGGTGAAAGTCGTGGGTGCAGGGCAGCCTTCGGATCTCGTCGTGGAGGGCAAACATGTCCTTGCACACGGCGCAGTCCTGGTTCTTGGCCACGTCCTCCTACATGCCATTCATTGCATCAGCCCACATGCGCATGCTATCCTTGTGGACCTCGGTGATGTGCACAACGGGCAGGCTCTCAACGACCGACTTGGAGGCTGGCGGCGCGCCATGCTATTAGACACACGCGGGTGCTATATCGCAACCAGGTCGACGGGCGCTGTACCTGGTTCGGATCGTTCTGCATCAAGTGGTTGATGATAGTCGAGATGTTGCCAAAGGCGTAGTCACCAATGGTTGCGGGGGCACCTTGCCCGGGTTGCATCTGGAGCATCGACCCGATCGCGTTCAGAAGGCCCGAGCCGCCGATTGCATTGCCGCCTGAAATGTACACTTCGACAGGGTGGCCGGTGCCGGTGCGCGTGAAGATGCGGTTCCGCGTCGTACGGGCGGCGCCGTTGGACGTCGCCTCAAACAGCCTACGTCGTGCTTGAGCACTCGTTTCAAGCAACGTCGTCAGTAGCGTACGGTCCTCCGCGGCGCCCTTCCTCTCGGCGAGGAAGCGCCTGTGCGTATGGTGTGTTGGCCTATGGAAGAAGATCCATAACATCTTCCTGCGTGGAATTGGACCTTCAACCTCGTTCGGCGCGGCGCGATCGGCGTCACGGGGGCGCCGGCCAGGTAGCTCCAGACGGAACATCTCAGGAGGCAGCGCGTCTTGCTCGTCGTCGCGCGGAGGCTCGGCCGCCGGTGGCACAAAGTTCTGAGGCCGGTCCGCAGCGTCCTCTTCGAGCTCTTCCACGAAGCAGCCGCCGCAGCCCTGGCATTCGAGCTCGTGCGACTCGACGTTGAAGATCGTCGTGACGTTGGATGCGCACTCGTGGCACCAGTACGTCGGCGCTACGGTCGGCGCGGCCTCGCGCGGCAAGGTCGCGTCGACGTCCGTGCTTGCGACCATTGTGCTCTTGCTGGCAATGGGAATTCTGGGTAAAACCCGTCGTTTTGCCCTGAAAATAGACTGACTATCGGCGCATTTCATTCGTCCGAGCCACTTGCAATACAAACACCAAGCTTGTGGATCGAGGCCATTCGGAATCCCACCGATTTCAAACAGCCGTTGGAGGTTTAGCCCACACCGTTTGTCCCACCATCGACCGATCTTCTGCGCTGGCAACGACGCCATGCAAGTGCCACAGAGACGCAGCCAGCCCACAGGCAGTGGACCGACGTCCTTGGTTGCCACAGCTGATAGCGTCGCCATTCCATTCCGTCTCATTGCTCGATGCCCAGCAAAGCAGGTGTGCCATCCCAGCCATCACGCTGGAATAGCTGCTGGAATACATTCTGCCAAGGCCGCAACATGTAGCTCCGTAGCGCATCAAGCTACCGAGTAGCGGGCGAGCCACTGCGGTACTGCGGTACTACATTGCAATGGCCACGTTGCGTTCGAGGTCGAGTTGCGCGGGACAGAGGAAAGGTCATGTCGACGCGCCGAGATTGCCTTTCCCGCAGGATCTCGCAATGGACAGGCGAACCAACGACGCCGGTGAGACATCCAGGAACGCGCCCGTGGCCTTCATCCACGGAGCTGAGCACGGAGGATGACGTCTTCTGCCGTGCCCAGTCCCATTCCGAGGTCGGCGATCCTTGGTGTTCCAGCGATTCTTGGTCATTTCGCGATCCGCAACGAATGGCGCCGACGTTTCCGACGGGTCGCGCCAGCTATGTCGAGATGCTGTCGCCTCGTGACCACGAGGCAGCGGTGACAATGCATCCGATCGAGTCGTGCAATCGCATCTCGTTTGCGCTCATGCTCTGGATGGACGGCTTGATCCGCCGCGGCGCCACGACGCCGCTGCAAGAGCACGACGTGTGGCTGCTCCCGAGCGATGACACGGCGGCAGCCCTCAGTGCCCGCTTCTCGGCCGAGTGGGCCATCGAGAAGACGCGCCCGACGCCACGCTTCCACAAGGCGCTGTGGCGCACGATGCGTCGCCGGCTGTGGTGCACACTCGGGCTCTACCTCCTCTACTCGTTCATCATGCTGCTGCAGCCGATCGTGATCAAGTCGCTTTTGCAGTACATGCAAGGCAAGCCGACCGCGCTCGGGATCGAGTCCGGCTACGGCCTCGCGGCGCTGCTCACGGTCGTCTCGCTCATTGCCGTGACGGTCATCGACTTTGGGCAGCTGCTCGCGTCCAACCTTGGCTGCAACGCCAAGACGATCATCATGGACGTTGTGTACCAGAAGAGCCTCAAGCTCTCGGGATTCGCCAAGCGGGGCATGTCCTCTGGTGCGATCGTCACCTTGTCTGGCGTCGACTCGGAGCGGCTCTTTGACGGCTTCCTCATCGGCCCGTGGAGTCCGACCGCACCGATCTCGATCGCAGCGATCTTCGTCATGATTGGCTTGGAGCTGGGCTACGTTGTCGGCCTTGTCGGCTGCGTCTTCATGTACCTCATCCTGTTTCTCGGGTATCTCTCGGCCAAGACTGTCGGCGAGACGCGCCGCGCGCTCCTTAACGTGCAGTCGGAGCGTGTGAAGCTCACGAACGAGGTGCTCCAGGGCATCCGCGTCGTCAAAATGTACGGCTGGGAGCGCGACCTCGAGGCGGCCATCGATGCCATTCGCGCGCAGGAGCTGGTGTTTCTCAAGCAGTACCACCGCCGGCGCGTCTTCAATACGGCAGCGCTCTCGGTCGCGCCCGTCATTTGCCTCGCTCTGTGTCTGCTTTTGTACGTCGCCCAAGGCAACGCGCTCTCGCCCGACATCGCCTTCACCGTGCTCGCCTACATGAACGTTGCGCGGCTGCCGTGCTACAACTTTTCCAACGGCAGCCTCTTTGTGCAGGAAGCCCTGACATCCTGCGACCGCGTCGGCACCTACTTGCTTGCAGACGAGGTCGTCGAGTCTGCGACGACAGACGCTGACCAAGTGCCCAAGGTCGCGATCACGGACGGCGACTTTACGTGGCACGCGAGTCCGTCGACCGACGCCGACCCGTCGCTACCGTTGACGCTGCGCAACATCCACCTCCACCTCGCCCCTGCCTCGCTCACGATCGTGGTCGGCGCTGTCGGCAGCGGCAAGTCCAGCCTCGTCTCGGCCCTCCTCGGCGAGATCCACCAAGTGCGCGGCACCTGCCACGTCACCGGCAACGTCGCGTACGTCAGCCAAGAGCCGTGGATCCAGCACGAC